GGAAGAGTTTGAAGTATCGGAAGAAATCAAAGCGTTGGCTAAGTTTGCAAAGAATTCTTTGGATGAGTTTAAGATCAAATGTCAATCTTATGGCAAAAAGACTAATGCAAAACATATTAACATTGAACCCATTGGATTCAGTTTCAATGACTTCTGGTTCCTAATGTTAAGGACAGCCAAATGTAATATAATTAGGGGTTGGAAGCCATTCCTGTTTATTATGATGTTTGAAGTCCTTTCAGGTATTTATTCACAAGAAATTAGTAAACACTTTATTAAATAAATAATTTCTATCAAAAGGCTTATCAAATGGTTTACTATTTGGGAAGAGTGGTCAAGACGACGGGTGTTTGCCGTACAACCCGTATGAGCCCCGAAACATCACTTGTATCCCAATTAACAGCAACAATGATAGAGAACCACAATATATCCAAAACTTTAAGTTCCTATTCTATGGAGTATTAATGCATAACTTTCTGCAATTGTCTTATACTATACTCACGTTTCCAANAGAACGCGAGGCTCCGGCTGTTGAATGATTTGATCAAAAGGACCCAATCGGCCAAAGTTCATGCACTGGTAGTCTCGGAGCTGAGGCGACACATGCCTCTCGTGTTGAATAAGAAGAACAAACAGAAAGAGCTGATCCAACGGTTGGGCGCCATATACAATGATATTAGGCACCGGTATGGCGTCCCTATCAGCGACTTCCCCGACGTCGAGTCAATGCAACAGAAGCTCAAAGACGTTGATTTCAATCGCTTTCATTCGTACAGTAAAACACTTTTCGCTCAAATCGACCAAATGATGGCCAGAGATGTGCCGAAACTGATGGCGCAGATCGTGTCCGAGCAGATGAGCGCACCGGTAGACCAGTTGACAGTCAGAGGCGGAAGGTTTGATGTGTTAAACAGAGAGCCCTTCGGTTACCTAAAGGGCGAGGGAATGGACGCCGGGTCTGACGGCGCCGATTGGATCGTCTCAAAGGACCGACACATCTATGATAAGGCGTTCGCAACGCTGTCTCCCATTAACGGAAAGATATCTTCAGTGAGAGTGAAGGCAGAGATGATTAGATCCAAACTTCCCACTAGTGTTCTCAGTAAGATCTATAGGCTGTCCGATGTGGACGGGGATGGGCTGCTGGACGGCGATGAGTACGCGCTGGCCATGCATTTGATGGCAATCAAACTGGACGGATACGATCTGCCCCTTCAGTTGCCCACACATCTCATCCCACCGTCAAAAAGGGACACAAAACTGTAAATACAAAAGGCTTTCCCTTTGCTAAGGTTTAGGATTTTAACAAATTATTCAAATTTTATTCCGACTCTTAATTTATATCTAAATGTATACTGTATCTGTATTGTATATCTGAAAATTATATGAAAATATTATAGCAAATAAAAAATATTGTAATTTATTCTTGTACAACATTAATTTACAATTAATTTCAACAGTATCATTTAAAGTTCTATGACTAGAATTTAGTTAGCTTAGTTTAAATCAAATATTAAACTCTTGACCGAGGTATCACAAATTAAAGTAACTTAAATTATATTGCTAAGTTTTAAATTCGAGTTATACAATTGAATCCTTATTAATGGTAGAGATGGGAGTCTTAGTGTTATGATTGAGATTTAATTTGTGGTGATTGAACATAAAGTTGAGACCCAAGTCATTGGTCTTAACGATCAGACAAATCAATGCAAACACCCTCCAGAAGATTGTCTGCATCACCAGTAGAGTCATATTCATCTGAAAGCTATCTTCAGTGAGTTTCATGCGATACAATATGGATGAGTAGTGATTGAGTTGGGCGTCACATCTGTTGAAGCCATAGATGGCATATATCTGAGACTCAAACGACGCCTTCACGTACGATATGTTTGCTATGAATTGCATGAATCGGTTCATCTCAGCGACCGGTAACAAAAAGCCGCTGAACAGTGTGTTCAAGAGATTGCCTCCGATTCCTAGTATAAGGGTTGTCCGTAAATTTTTGGTCGATATTATACTGAACGTGTACGACATGCCCTGAGAGCATAGGGTGGACAGTATCATCGACAGTAAGTAATAGCCTGGAAGTTTATAAAAAAAATTACGTAATCATCAAAATACTAATCAATAAATTGATTATTTATTACCAAAACGCTTTTCATAGAGGGCTCCGATCTGTGCAGTGACTAAATATATGGTCACTGAGAAGACAACAGTGATAACGGCTCCCAAGAAGGCGTCCACCAGATTCTTAGCCCAATAGTAGGAACCGGAGGAATACCACCGATTGTGCTGTTCGTTGAAAAAAATTTTCACTTCCATTGGAAACGTGAGTATAGTATAAGACAATTGCAGAAAGTTATGCATTAATACTCCATAGAATAGGAACTTAAAGTTTTGGATATATTGTGGTTCTCTATCATTGTTGCTGTTAATTGGGATACAAGTGATGTTTCGGGGCTCATACGGGTTGTACGGCAAACACCCGTCGTCTTGACCACTCTTCCCAAATAGTAAACCATTTGATAAGCCTTTTGATAGAAATTATTTATTTAATAAAGTGTTTACTAATTTCTTGTGAATAAATACCTGAAAGGACTTCAAACATCATAATAAACAGGAATGGCTTCCAACCCCTAATTATATTACATTTGGCTGTCCTTAACATTAGGAACCAGAAGTCATTGAAACTGAATCCAATGGGTTCAATGTTAATATGTTTTGCATTAGTCTTTTTGCCATAAGATTGACATTTGATCTTAAACTCATCCAAAGAATTCTTTGCAAACTTAGCCAACGCTTTGATTTCTTCCGATACTTCAAACTCTTCCGACTCTTTATCGTTAAACGTTGTCTTTGAAGCCAATTTAATCAGCACTTCGATGGGCACCTGTATGTCAGTAATAGGTATGTTTGTTTTCTGAAGGAACTGTCGAAGCGTTTCCGGTTTTCCGTTGTATATATTGTAACCGCCTTTCGAGAGCACATACAGCGAGTCAAACATCATTAGGATATCGGAGTTTGGCTGATGTATAGTCGTTATGATTCCTATCGAGTGGTCACGACATACGTTACGAAGACAATCAATCACCTGATCATTGCAGACAATTCACACACAAAATTAGGGTAACTATGAAACAACATATTATATGAATACCTGTTCGGCGGCATTACTGTCGAGACCAGAGGTGGGCTCATCGATGCACATAATGTTAGGCTTCTCTTCGCCCACTAATTCCAGTGCAATGACTATACGCTTCTGTTGGCCACCACTGCAGTCGCCGATCAATGTGTCGGCGCAGTCACTGAGTGTCAGGTCTGTCAGCAATTTGTCTATATTTGAGTTGTGGTCGAAGGAGTCGTGTCCGCCCACCAAACCTAACGTGGAGGCGAACAGTCGGTTGTCATCTGGTTTATCGGATGCCAGGGATGTGGTGTCACTGAAGGGCTGGTTCTTGATTCTGGACGCGTATACCAGCGACTCCCTGGCCGTTAATAGCATCAACAGGTGTTCCTTCTGGTCCTGGACTATATAACACGACTGAATGGTACGTCTGGTGCTCACGAAGATGTCGGTCTCTTCGCTCAAACCATTGCCGATTCGGCCGTTAATACATCGCAAAAGTGTTGACTTTCCTATTCATTAGGCAGTAATTCATTGTTTTAATTTTTTATTTAATAATACTTAATGCTAATTTAATTAATAATAAAATTTTTGTAAGTATCTTTCAATGTGTAGTGCATATGAACTTAAAATCTATGAGACCGACATACTATGCACTTAAAAGGATAATTATATAACGGTGTTACTGTACTAATATTGAATGTCAGATTAAACATTAGATAAACAACATAGTAAACAAATTATTTAGTTGAGTGACAAAATATGTGGAAATTTTGTCGAAAAGTGTCAAAAATCTTAACACTTTATGTGCATATAACTACTTCAATTACTAATTAGTGTTACATTTGTTTTTGTTATTTTATATTAGCGTTCCCCACACTTATGTGTCGCGGTAGAAAATATGATAGTATTATTTACTAGTAATATATGTAACTAGTAATAGTATGATAGTAATTAGCACAGTATAACACTACAAATATTTTTTGTATTAATGTTTTACCTAATAATTTATATTTATAGAAAATTTGTATTTAATTGATAATGCAATAGAAACAATTATATCTATATCTTCTTATCGAAGTTTTATAAACAAGTACAATATTATAAACATAATAATTAATAACTTTTCTAATAATTAATGAACTTATAGTAAATAATATGATCTGTAAAATATGACAACAGTTAAGACATACCGCAACCACTGGGACCCATGAGACCGACAATCTCTCCAAACTTGATTTGACCGGAAATGTCCCGTAAAATAGTCTTTGGTTCGTCGGACATAAACTTTTTGGGGGCATAAGTGAGTCCAATCCACGCCAACCCAAACTCCATGCGCTCCGCAATCCGACTCACAGTCTCGTCGGACAGCGATTTAGAGGAGCTAACTCTGGGACTAATCATCGATGTGGACAGTCGGCTCGGCATCACATACAGCCTATTAGGGTCTAACGTATCAGGCACAATCGTCTCTATTGCTAAATTCTCTGCATTCAAATTATTTTCAAACATTATTATGCGGTATAATTTGCATACTGCGGCATAATGTATAATTTAGTTTATTACAATTACTAAAAATAATTAATTTTTAATTTTTTGTAAAGTTTTAAGCTTTTATAATCAACTTTTCAAATAATTTAATTTTGAATATGATTTGAAATAATTTTCCAATAATTTTCACTTTTATATATAAATGAAATAAACGTAAAAATAAAATATTCATATAATATAACATAATTTTACGAAATATTCTTTGCACAGAATATTCTTTACTGACGTTTGTATTGGTAATGCATTA